GGAAAGCAATCCTTCTTGGTGACGTTGTTCAGCTTTCTGTAGTCCACACAGAAACGGATCTCCCCATTCTTTTTCCTGACCAGAACGACCGGGGACGACCAAGGGCTGTCCGATTCTTCTATAACACCCCGTCCTCGCATATTTTCGAGCATTTCCTTCACTTCCGCTTGTTTTGCCAGGGGTACTCTCCTCGGTGGCTGTCGAATTGGTCGGGCTTCTCCCGTGTCTTTTTCCGTTTTGGAGGGGGTCGTCCTCTCCACAAGGTCCAATCCAGGATTTCTTTCTTCGGGGGTTCCTTATTTCGACATAACAGCTCATGATGCATTGTTTGCACTTGCTGACGTCGTCCTTCCTCCTGGTCTTCCAGCCGCTTGCTGGTACGGGACCGTGGTGCCAAGTCCTTTCTTGGATGGCTCTCGTCTCTCGTCTCAACATGTCATAATATTATACAACAGAATCCTTCCGCTGTTTTGGAAATCTTTTCAAACTTCTTCAGTACTTTGACTGGTATTTTGAAACCTTTTCTGATATGCTATCACAGCTCAGCATGTAAATGAGTTACTTCCAAGCTCTTCTGTATTGTTTTGTACACTCCGTTCTCTGTGAAATCTCTCCAAATTTCTTCTTTCTTTTACAGTCAAAAACTAAGTATCCCACAGTCTTTGTCACAAAATGCATTTCTGCCAACATCAGCACTTATAATCCATGTCTAGAAACTAATAATGGTTTGAAAATTTGATTTATAATGCCTAGCATTCTGAAAAAAGTAAGCCCTAATATTACTTTTTCCACCATTTCAGAAGTGCACAGTGCCACACCTCAGAAGGCCATGATCTGAATCCTCCCTGCTTTTAGGACCTCAGATCTCATCTGCTATCTTGGTACAGAGAGCAGAGTGTCAACTGACCAAAATTATCCCTTCGGCCGCAGTACTAGGTGACACTTCTGTACAAACCCAACTACACTGGAAGAGTTTTAAAACTATGAGATCTTTAAATTTATACACACAATTTTTGGAATTAGAACAGAAATTGTGTTGACATTAGTAAACTGACTTCATATGGTATCACCAAATAATT